CGGTGTTCGATTCCTATGATACAATCGGTTGTCGGTTCACGCTGCACTACGTTAACCGCCTACGAACTAGCCATGTCTGTCTCTCAAAGAATTTAGCAAAAGAAGAAGAGAGAACAAAACGGAGGCTGCAAGAAAGAAACAAATGAGAAGAAAACTATTTTTTTCTTGTTGTTGTGTTTTCTTTTGTTGTGTTTGCTTCCACCGAGAGCTCTCCTATTTATACACATAGAAGAGGGCCAGTTCTTTAATGCATTGAATGAGAGGTTACATCATTGAAGAGAAAATCGGATGAAACTGAAGAGAGCCGAAGAGTTGCTGATGAAAATGAAATGCTGACTTTCTTGTTGCTGATGAAAATGAAACTGCTGACTTTCTTGATTTTCATTCAATATTCCAACATTCGTAACCTATTCAATTATGCGAGATTGAGTCCCCAACTTGATAGAATCTAGAGTAATGCTGCTTGAATAGCGTTAGGTAATAGGGTTTTTGATAGGTGCTGTGTTGGCACCACTTTTATGATTTTTTTATTTTTTCAAATTATTCAATAAAATGTTGACACCTGCCCTCCTATTTTTAATCCAGTGACTTGCGTTGTTTGTGTAGCAGAACTTTAGAATCTATTACTTTGACGGTAAACACTAATATTATTTTTCCTTTATTTTTTGTTTATGGAGATCCTACTGACAATATGGTTATCTCATGAGATGCACAAACAACATTTTCAAATAGCAAAACTTTTCCCTAACAAAGGCACATTAGAGTGGATTAAAATATCTAGCTAAACTTAGAAGTAAGTAATTTTTAAAAAAAGGATATTTTATATTGAAAATATACTTAAAGCATACTTACGATGGCTTATAAGCTATTTAAATTAAAAATGATATAAATAAACATTAGTAAGTTGGAATTTATTGAAATTATGAATAAAAAGTGATATTGTTTGATAGAAATTAAAATTCAGATTTTAATCTAAGTCAAAATCAATAGCTAATTTTAACCACATATTTTATGGGGCCCACAATTTTCAATCATACGTTTTATCGAATTTTATCAAATTTAACTAAAAATATGATTTTTAATCCCCACTCGTAGAGACCATAAGATTAACTATTACATAGAGTGGCTTAATTATTTTCAACGTTGAACAACAACAAAAATAAAAGGGAAAATTGCAGCCACGATACCAAACTTTCACATTTTTGCGGACTTTGTCCAAACCTTTGATTTGTGCCACCCATGGTACCAAACATTTAACCAATTCGCACCCGAAGTCCAAATTGACAGAAACTATTAGTTTGACCGTCAATTGACCAAAAATTAAAAATTTGACCAATTGCTGACTGATTCTTAAAGGGCAAAATGATAATTTTCTCTTTTTTCATATAAAAAAACTAAAATAAAATAATTAAATCAAAACCAATGTCATCTTCTCCAACCATCCCACCCAAAATCAAACTGTTGGCACCACCACAACAGCACACCCACACCTCCTTCAACCACCATGACCACCGTCACCTCCTCCCACCACCACAACCTCAGTTGCAATTTTCCCTAAATTAATTCACGTCACCACTCCCACCCCAACTCAATTTCATCCAAACACTAAAAGCCACCGCCTCTTATGTGAGACGCGATGTGAATTCATTCCCCATAAATTTTATCTCTTCGTTGGTACTCAAAGCCTTTGCTGAAGTAGCAACATCGCAGTCTCAGTAAATACTCAAAGCCTTTCCTAATTATTTCAAACATAAAAACAAGATATCACAAAATATCAAGAACAAAATTTGAACTTATAGAAAAGAGAAAAAAATAAATAAATACCTGAGAAGAAATCATAGGAGGGGAAAAGAAAAAAGGAAGTCGAGAAATATCAAGGAAATGTAAAAAGAAATAGATCTCCTGCGAAATGGGTTTGATTTTAAGAACCTCATTTTAGATTGAACTGACGAAAGAATCACAATTCAGAGCTCCGCATTTGGGGAATTTGAAAGATGAAGAAATGTAAATGGGAAGAGGTGACGTGAATTAATTTAGGGAAAATTGTGTGGTGGTGGGAGGAGGCGATGGCGGTCGTGGTGGTAGGAGAAGGTGGGTGTGCCGGTAGTTTGATTTTGGGTTGGGCTGGGCTGGGTTGGATTGGGGTGGGGTGGGGTGGCTCAAGGATGGTTGGAAAAGATGGCATGGGTTTTGGTTTTTTATTTTACTTTTTTTAATGAAAAAAGGAAAAAAAATAATACTATTTTGCCCTTTAAGAATTAGTCAACAATTGGTCAGATTTTTAATTTTTGATCAATTGATGGTCAAACTAATGGTTTCTGTCAATTTGGACTTCGGATGCGAATTGTTTAAAGGTTTGGTATTGTGGGTGTCACAAATCAAATATTTGGGCAAAGTCTGCAAAAATATAAAAGGTTTGGTACCATGGCTGCAATTTTCCCTTGTTTTTAAGGTAAAGATCAATTTGCATACTTAGGTAAGATCGAGAACCACTGCTACAATTACTTGAATAAGATTAAGCCCAACATAGCCATTTACCAAAGTAGTGCTAGACGTACAGAAAATTCTTTCCAGATAGTGACCAGATGGGTATAAAATATCTATTTTGCCCTTAATGAAATATACTGCAGGTTAAGTCCTGTATCTTTTACTTGTCAGATCGTTCAGGGTTATATCTTACAATTCTTTCGTTTGGATCGTAGGTTTTTAGAGTTAATCCTAGGAATCTTAGTTCAGTATTTTCTTGGAACCAAATCAAGTATTGTTGTTGCT